TTTTTTTTAATTTAATGAAACGTATAGTGCATTATCTTAGCGTGCTTTCTGTTACAATAACAATACCAGAGTCTGGGTAATTTATAAAGAACAGAGGTTTATTTGGCTCATGATTCTGGAGGCTAAGATGGCCAAGAATCTGACACCATCAGCATCTTGGCACTGAGTAAAGGCTTCATTCTGCTGTATGACATGACAGAGGGTATTACATAATGATACTCAGGGCAAGCACTGAGTCTTTCTCCCTATTTTTATAGAGCCCCTGGTGCTGTCTTAGGAGGCCCACTCTTGTAAGACCTCACCTAATCCTAATTATCTCCCAATGGCCACCTCAAAATATAATTAACATGAGCTTGGAGATTAAGCTTCCAACACATGCCCTTTTGAGAGGACATATTCAAATAACAGCAGGTATGACAATCCTAAGAATTAAACCTTCATTCCTAAATTATTTGATATGTTAATACATAGCAAACTTTGTTAAATGGGAAAAAATAGTGACATACAAGGCAGGTTTAAAATGAGAGAAAGTATCACGAATGCAAAGGAGGGCAAGAGAACATCTGGCACAGGAGACCATGAGAAAAACTCATAGAAGTCAGCAAGATGGCTAAGCGAAGGAGCCCGGAATGTTTCCCTTCACATAAAAGGGCTGAAAGAAAAAAAAAGAAAATCAGCTATTTCGCTGGAGTATTGAAAGGAGAGCTTCAGAGTGCAAAGGGGTGTGGCAGAGATGTCTCAGAGCACCAAGATTCATGATGGCTTCATAAAGAAAGGAACTAAGCATACAATAGCTATGATCCCCTTTCTCCTCTCCAACCCTGAACAGATACTTGTGTGGCTCAGCAGGGAAAACATCAGCAGGAAGTCCCAGAGATTCCTCTGCATACCATAAACACCAGAGGTATCTGCTGCTGAAGAACCATGCAGCCCTCACTGGCCCCAAGGTCAGTTTGAGCAGCTTCCAGGTTACCACACACCACTTCATTGCCCTGGAAAAATAGCCATTGTTGACGGCTCCCATGCAGGCTCTTGCCACACAGTCACCTTGAGACCCTACGACAGAGGCTCCTTTCAAGCCACCAAGCAGCTGTCACAGCAACCTTGCTGATCCAGCTCTACAAACCAGCCAGGTGGCATCACCCCACCACACATGACCCCAGAAAGCAGCTGAGCAGCCTGTCCTGAGCAGTCTGGCATGTTAAGGTCCCCAGGCAGCCGCCAGGCAGGTTTCCCCTACTGTCTTAGTCAGGCCTTTTTTTTTTTTTTTTTTTGCTGCTGTGACCAAAAGACCTGACAAGAACAATTTTAGAGGAGGAAAAGTTTATTCTGGGGCTTGTGGTTTCAGAGAGTTCAATCCATAGACAGATGACTCCATTCCTTGGGACTCAAAATAAAGCTGAACATCAAGGTGGAAGAATGTGGTGGAGGGAAGCAGCTCAAGACATCACACCAGGAAGCAGAGAGAGAGCTCTGTCACCAAGGACAATATATATGTACACACGTGTACACATATATGTGTGTGTGTGTGTGTGTATATATATATATATATATCTCCATCCCAAAGGCACACTCCCAGGGACCCACCTCTTCTAGCCACACCCTAGTTGCCTACAGTTACCAAATAGTTAATCCTTATCTGGGGATTAATTCGCTGATTGGGTTAAGACCCTTATAACCTAATAATTTTGCCTCTAACACTTCTTGCATTATCTTACACACAGCTTTGGGGGAACACCTAATATCTCAACCATAATACCCACTAACCTCTGATGTTAGGTAGCAGTTTGAGCAGCCTGCCCCGAGTGGCTTAGCCTAGCCTAAGAGGAAGACAAGTGATCCCACCCACCAATCACCAGCCCTATGAAGCTGCTGAGCAGCACAACCTGAACAGTTAGGCCCCAGATGACCCACAGTCACCACAAAGCCTTCAGACACTGATGGGTTCCCCAGTCTGGGCCCTCCACTGTGGTCTAACACCATTTGGCCCTTGGACTTTGATAGAACCTCACGCCAAACATGCTACACTGGACCTATCTGGGCTCATCAGAGTAGTTCCATCCTTTCCCTAAAGAGTCCTCAGGAACTGAGGGGAGTCTTACCTACTCTGCCACACCAGCCACAGCTCACCCTCATGTGCCAGCCAGAGCAGCCCCACCAGAATGGAATACAGAAAATGACAGCTATCTAACACCCACAATAGGAGGTACCATGCCTAGAGCCATTAATAAAACTGCTCATCTATGAGAGCTGCATCCCAGATGGCTGGGTAGTCCCAGGACCCCTACATACCACTGACACACTCACAGGCATCTCTGCCATCAGTTACAGATGAAGAAGCCTCACAGACACCACACTAAAGCACTGGCCTAGAACCAAAGCCCAGGTAGCCCAATGATACCAAATGATACCCCAGACCATATTGTCAGGCTGTCTTTTATTACAAAAGCCAAATTTAGAAATTGGTAGAGGGAAGTGATCTGCCAGACTCACCAATATCAACAGAGGAACATCACATCAGCAGCATGAAAAACAGGGTTATCTAAAGAGGCTGGATAACGTTCCAGCAGTAGACGACAGAGAAAAGGAAATCCACAAATTGAACGAAAAGGAATTCAATGACTTTCAAGAAATTCAGTGAGATCCAATACAGACAGATAATTCAATGGAATTAGAAAGAGAAATCATGATCTAAATGAGAAATCCAGTAAAGAGATCATAAGAAAGAACAAATCTTGGAGCTAAAAACCCCCATGAAATGAAATTTAAGAATAGATTTGACAGCCTTTACAGCAACTAAATCCAGTAGAAGAAAAAAAAAACTTATTTAATGAATTTAATAAAAATATTATAAATCCTAGAAAAGATATGAACATCAGATTCAAAAAGCTCAAAGGACCCCTTAATAGAGTCAACAATAAAAGATTCTCTCTCATGTATATTATAGTCAAATTGTCAAAGATACAAAATAAAGTATTCTAAAAACAGCAAGAAAAGAGTGTCAAGTCCCATTAAGGGAATCCCCCATTAGATTAATGGCAGACTCCTCAGCACAAACCTTACAGGCCAGAGAGAATAGGATGACATACTCAAAACCCTGAACGAAAGAAACTGCCAAACTAGAATATTATATTCAGCAAAGCTATCCTTCAGAAATGAAGGAAAATAGTCTTTCCAAGACAAGCAAAGCCTGAAGGAATTCATCACCAGTCTGGTCCTACAAGGAATACTTACAGGAGTCTTACACTGGAAGCAAAAGGACAATAACTACAATTATGAAAACACAAAAAAGGATAAAACTCATTAGAAGAGAATGTACACAAAAGAGAAAAAGGATTAAACCTTATACAAAACAACCAAAGACATTTAACAAATACGTATTTATCCATAATAACTTTCAATATAAACATATTAAATTCCTTCACTAAAATATTCAGGCTGGCTGAATGGATTTGAACAAAGAAAATAAAAAGACCCATTGATATGCTGCCTATAGAAAATTCACTTCACCACTAAAGACACATTTAGACTGAAAGTACAGGGATGGGAAAAGATATTTCACACAAAGAAACCAAAAATAAGCAAGAATCACTATGCTTAGATAACAGACTTTAAGCCAAAAGCTATAAAGAAAAAGTGTGTATATAAAGGGATCAATTTAACAAGGGAAGATAACATTTGTAAATATATATAAATCCAGTGCCAGAGCACAAAATTATATAGAGCCAACATTATTATATCTAAAGAGAGAGACTAACACAATAACAGTTGGAGACTTTGAAACCCCAGTTTCATCTGTGGATGATCATCCAGATCAAAAAAAAAAAAAAAAAATGAAGACACATGAGACTTAAATCATACTATAACCCAAAGGACCACAAAGACATGTACATAACACTGCTTTCAGTGGTTGCAGAATACACATTCTTCTCAGCCCATGGAACATCCATAGGATACACTCCATGTTAGGCCATAAAATATGGCTCAACTCACTTCTTAGAAATAGAAATCATAGTATGTATCTTCTCCAGCCTCAATGAATAAAACCAACAATCAACAAGCAGAACTGAAGTAATAATAAAAATAAATGTCAATTAAACAACATACTCTTAAATGATCAATGAATCGATTAAAAAGTCAAAAGAGAAATTTAAAAATGTCTTGAGACAAATGAAAATAAAAATACAACATACCCAAAACATATGGGATACAGCAGGAAACACAGGAAAATTCACAGCTATAACTGCCTACATCAAAAAAACAGAAAGATTTCAAATAAATAACCTAATAAGACAACTCAAAGAATTAGAAAAGAACAAAACAAACCCAAAATTAGTCAAGGGAAAGAATATAGAGCAGAGAATAAGTAGAGACCAAAAAAACTACAAAAGTCAAGGAAATGAAAAGATGGGCTTATAAAAGACAAAATTAATAAAAACCTTTAGCTAGACAACAGAGTGAGAAGAGTCAAAATTAGAAATAAAAAAAATGAGCTTACAGCTGTTATCACAGAAATACAAAGGATCATCAGGAACAATTATAAACAGCTATATGAAAACAAGTTGGAAAACCTAGAAGAAATAGATAAGTCTGTGAACACATAACCTTATTTTGAACCTGAAACACATAGGAAATCTAAACAGACCAATTAACAAGTTACAGGATTGAATAATTTTTAAAAATCCCCCAACAAAGAAAAGCCCAACACTGAGGGCTTCACTGCTGAATTTTAACAAAACTTTTAAAGAAGAAATAACATGTTTTCCTTAAACTAGTCCCAAGAATTGATATAGAAGAAGGCTTTCCAAACTCATTTTAAAAGGCCAGAATTTTCCTGATATCATAACCAGACAAGGGCAAGGGAAAGAAGAAAGGAAGGGAAAACTACAGACCAATATCCCTGATATCCCTAGATGCAAAAAATTCTCAAAATACTATCAAGTCTAATCTGATGGCACATCAAAAATATTAGACACTTGGTGTGAGGAGGAGTTGGACTCCGAATGGGTCGCAGCCGAAGCCAATCCCCACGGAGGGAACGTAGGCGGTCCCGGTCCACTTCCCGGGAGAGAGAAGGAAGAGATCCAAAAAGGAGCCCTTCGAGATCCCAACACCGAAGGCGCTCCTGATCCCCAAGACGACATGGATCCACATCTCCTTCCCCTTCTCGACTAAAAGAAAGAAGAGATGAGGAAAAGAAAGAAACATGAGAAGAAGATTAACATTAAACAGGGATGAGAGGTGGGAGGGAAAGGGAAAGAGAAGGGAAATTGCATGGAAATGGAAGGAGACCCTCAGGGTTATACAAAATTTCATACAAGAGGAAGTGAGGGGAAAGGGGAAAATAATACAAGGGGGAGAAATGAATGACAGTAGAGGGGGTAGAGAGAGAAGAGGGGAGGGGAGGGGAGGGGAGGGGGGATAGTAGAGGATAGGAAAGGCAGCAGAATACAACAGACACTAGTGTGGCAATATGTAAATCAATGGATGTGTAACTGATGTGATTCTGCAATCTGTATATGGGGTAAAAATGGGAGTTCATAACCCACTTGAATCAAAGTATGAAATATGATATATCAAGAACTATGTAATGTTTTGAACAACCAACAATAAAAAATTAAAAAAAAAAGAAACAAAGAGCAAAGAACGTCAGATTACCGAGGAAGACTTAGAGGGCAAAACAGAGGAAGAAATTGAAATGATGAAGTTCATGGGATTTGCCTCTTTTGACTCAACAAAAGGGAAGAAGGTAGATGGCTCTGTCAATGCCTATGCCATAAATGTGTCTCAGAAGAGGAAGCACAGGCAGTACATGAATAGAAAAGGTGGCTTCAACAGACCTTTGGATTTTATTGCATGAGAACTGAAATTTGAAGAATGATTTTCCCCCTCGTCTTGGTCAGAGAGTGGATTTTGTATTTAATATGCCTCAAAACCAAGATTGCTGTTCTTCTTTCTTGTAAAGTAAGAAAATCTTATTTATGATGTGTGCAGTTTACTTACTTTCCTCAACAAAAGATAGGTTAAACATTACCTTTTTTTTTTTTTTTTTTTTTTTTTTAGGAAATATCATTTGGGACGGTCACCATCCCATTTTGTTTGTTTTTATTCCTATGGAAACTGTATATTTTCTTCTTGGATGCTTGTTAGGACTTTATAACAAACATGAAAGTAATTTGGATGTTTCTCCAATAAAGCAATATTTCTACCCATTTTATAGTTGATAAACATTTTTATTATTAGATAAAAGAGCCTGCCTAGATGTTTTCTTTTTTCACACATATATACCTTGATTATTAAAGAATTGGGAGAATGAAGAAGTATAACTTTAGATTTTTGTATCTTCTGTTTTTCCCCAAAAAATACTATTTATTGTTTTTCTTCAGTTATGAAAGCAATACATGCTTACTATAACAAATACCTGTGAAGCCAAAAAGTGAAAAGCCAAAAATCACTTATAATAAACTTCCAGGGATAATCAATATTAACATTTTGTTGTATGTCTTTCTGGGCTTCTGTATTTCTCACTTCCACTCATGAGATCAAAATGTATATACAGTCCTCTTTCTCTAACCCATTTTTCCCCATGTACTATGAACATTTTTTTATGCTTTTAAATTCTTTCGAAACTTAGTGTTTAGTAGCTACTTGGTTGTACCATAATTTATTAACTAATCCTTTATTGGTGAACATTGGCCTGTCTTCCATGGCTTACTTTTATAATTAAAACTTTTATAACTACAAAAAAAAATATTAGACACCATGATCAAATTGGATTTATTCCAGAGATGCATAGGGGGGTCAACATATGCAAACTAAAAAAACATAATACATCACATCAACACAATGAAGGACAAAAACCATATGGGCTTCTCATAAAGGTACAGAACAGGCATTCTATCAATTTCAACATAACATCAAGAAAAAAACCCTTAAAAAATTAGGTATGAAAGGAATGTACCTCAAGACAAAAGGGTGGTATATGATAAACCACAGACCAAATGAGGAAAAGCTAGTTTCTTTCTCTAAGATCAGGAACAAGACAAGTACATCCACTTTCACCATTTTTATTCAAAATAGAATTATAAGTCTCAGCCAAATCAAGAAGGTAATAGAAATAAAGGGTATCCAAACAGGAAATGAGAAAGTCAAATTATCCCTGTTTGCTGGTGACATAATTTTATAAACAGAAACCTAAAGACATTAACAACAATAAAAATACTGTTATAACCAATAAATTCAGTAGGGTCACAGGATGATCAACATACAAAAATCAGTAGCTTTTTATATACCAATAATGAAACTGCTGAGAAGGAAATCAAAGCAATTCCATTCACAATAGCTACAACTACCAAAAACACCCACCCCTTGGGATTAATTTTACCATGGGAACAAATTATCTCTACAATGAAAATTACAAAACATTGATGAAAGAAACTAAAGAAGGGGGCTGGGGTTGTAGCTCGGTGATTGAGTGCTCACCTAGCATGCATGAGGCCCTGGGTTCAATCCTCAGCACCACATTAAAAAAATAATAATAATAAAGATATCGTGTCCACCTAAAACTAAAAAGTAAAAAATAAAAAAATTAAAGAGGACATAGAAAAATGAAGGAATCCTATGTTCATGGATCAGGAAAACCAGCATTGTTAAAATATTCATGCTACTCAAAGTGATCTACATATGCCATACAATTTCAATAAAAACCAAAGTGATGTTCTGCACGGGTGCGGTGGGGGCGGGGTAATCCTTCTAAAGTTTCCAAGGAATATAAAATATCCTGAATACCCAAAGAAATCCTGAGCAAAAAGAACAAACCTGGAGATATTACAAAACCTGACTTCAACATACTACAAATTTTAGTAACCAAACAGCATGGTACTGGCATCAAAACACACACAATTGAAACAGAACAGAGCCCAGAAATCTGAATTTCATGCATCAGAGCATGGAATGTTCAACCAAGCCAGTAAGAACAAATGTTGTAGGGAAGAAGTCTCTTCATGAACTAGTATTGGGAAAAGTGGATATCCATATGGAGAAGAATGAAAACAAATCGTTTCCTCTCAACATATACAAAAATAAACTCAAAGACTTACACATAAGAAATGCAACTACTAGAAGAAAACATAGGAAAAGTGTTTCTAGACACTGGTACAAACATTTTTTGCATGTGACCACAAAAGCACAGGCAAAAAAAAAAAAAAGGCAAAAATTGACAAACGGAAATTACATTCAACTAAAACTCTTTTAAACAGAAAAGGAAACAATTGACAGAGTAAAGAGACAATCTACAAAATAGGAAAGGATATTTGCAAACTGTCCATATATCTATAGGATTAATGTACAGAACTCAGATAAGTGAAAAACAAAAAGTAGTAATTCTATTAAAAAATGGGCAAATGATCCAAATAGGTATTTCCCAAAAGATAAACAAAAATCTACCAGTATATAAAAAAACAATGCTCAATACTGCTACTCATCACTAGGAAATTGCAAATCAAAACCACAATTAAAAAATAAATTAATTAAAAATAATACAATGAGATCCTTTCATCCTGGTTAGAATGGCTATTAATAAAAACAAATAACAAACACTGGTAAAGACACAGAAAAAGAAAAAACTCATATACTGTTTATAGGAATGTAAGTTAGAACAGCTATTACAAAATCAGTAAGGATTTCCTTTAAAAACTAGAAAGAGAATCTCCATATGATCCAGCAATCCTACTCCTGGGAATATATCCAAATGAAATGGAGTCATTAGATCAAAGAGATAATTGCACTTGTATGCTTACTGCAGCACTATTCATAACAGACAAGATATCTAATCAACCTGGATATCCATCGATGAGTGAAAGGATGAAGAAAATATGATGTATATATACACAATATATTATTCACTCATTAAAAAAGGCATTGTTATTTGTAGCAATATAAATTACCTGGAGGTTAAGTGAAATAAGATACCAAACAACAAATAGTACATGTTCCCACTTATATATGAAAGCTAAAAAGGTGATCTCATAGAAGTAGACACTGAAATAAGGAGTTGAGAGCTTGTTGAGGACTGATAAAGGATTGAGAGAAGATGATCAATAGACACAAAGATAAGTTTGGACAAAAGGAGTAACTTCTACTGTTGTAGGATAACTAGTAGAAAATAACTGTCCATTTCAAAATAGCTAGTAAAGTTACCAACAAAGAAACGATAAATGTCTGACACGATAACTATGCCAATTACCTGATCTGATCATTATACATTGTACACATATATTGAAATGTCACACTATACCCATAAATATGTAAGGTTGCTATGCATCAATTGAAAATAAAAATTTACTTGTAATTTTTTAAAGAAATTGATTATGTTGAAAAACAGATGCCTTAGATATTAGAAATAAAATGTAAATATCACTAGAAAACTAGTAATATAAAAGATGAAAAATTAAAATTGTTAAGATATTTACATTCTTGAAATCATGAAAATGAGAGACCAAAGTTATAATTTGACCAAATGGGCAAAAAAAAAAAAAAGTAAAATTAAGATTAAATCATGAATATGCCACTCTAAATTGTCTATTTAAAAGGACCTCTTACCTTGTTAATGATGTTTTATTAAGAAAAGCCAAACAGTAATGAAATTATGCATAAGAAGGGAGGAATACTACATAGGTAGCTGCACTGTAGAAGAATTTCTGGGAAGAAATCTGGAAGGGCTGTGTGTGAACAAGGACGGCCCCTAAGGAACCTCAGCTTACAGTTATAAGAAATTGTACTAATGAATTTAGGTCTTGCAAAGCAGTCATATCTTTCAATGGCTGGCTGTCAATATAAAATATATATATATATATATATATATATATATATATCAGGGAGGAGGAGACTTACACAGTACTTTACTGATCACAGAGAATGATACATTTAAAGCCAAGTAGTATCTCTTTGGGGTCATAAAATCCTGAAGAGTAGAAACATCTTTTGCAAGTCATGTAAAATCACTTGGGTAATAACATCAACCTCTGATACTGTTGATGTTGTTAGGCAAATTTTGTTCAATTTTTATAATAACTCTAAAAGGTGTTACCTAAACTCACCTTACAGATGAGAAATACCCTATTAAATAATGTGTCCAGGGTCACATGTGGCTAATAAATGTCAGGGCTGGGACTGAAATCCAGACATTCTGAATTCCAAAACTCCATAGTTTGGAATGACTCTTTACTCATCAATGCTACTTCTGAATAAATAAAAAGCCATAAAGCACATTTTTACAGTGTTTGGAAATTTCACCTTTGCAAGTCACAAAAAGGACCCCATTCCCCACAGAGCCTGTAACTACTCCTGTACTCATGAGCGGCTATCCTCTGCGTTCCCACAGGTCATATCACTCAGCACCTAATAAATCCTTTTCTGATCCTCTGGGTGACAATGTCATGTCACAATGTCTTTTCCCTAACCTGTGTGAATGCCTTTGAAGTAGGAGCCTTTGTTTATGCTCTTGATCCTCCATAGGACTAGGTAAAGTTGAGCTTCAATTGCTGAGTACAATATGAACGTTAAGGCAACTGTCAGATGATTTTTTTTAATGTTGCTGAGGTCATTACAAAACAGAATTTGATTACTTCAATTAGAAGTTTAATTATGCCAAGGAAAAGCATTCTTTTGATTTTTTAAAAAACAAATGTAATTTAAAAATACAATGGAATGCATTACAATTCTCATTACATATATACAGCAAAATTTTTCATATCTCTGTATATAAAGTATGTTGACACCAATTCGTGTCTTCATACATGTACTTTGGATGATGATGTCTATCATATTCCACCATCCTTGCTAATCCTCTGCCCCCTCCCTTTCCTTTCCACACCTCTGCCCTGTCTAGAATTCA